CAGCAACACGTTCTAAAACAGCTGGAACAGGGGCAACAAAAAATTGGGAAAGTTCAGGAATGCTAAAAAACTTGTTTGGATCATTCCACAGGTGAGCAGGTTAATTGGAAACAGGTGAGTGTCATGATTGGAACTAAAGCGAGCATCCCTGAAAGGCTCAGTTGTTCACAAACAAAGATAGGGAATCCAGTCCACACTCCACATCAGTAGGTGGCGGTAATGCACCTTACAGTTGTTTGCCAACYGCCAAAAAACAAACTAAAGAGAAGAAGAAGAACAATGATAGGGCAAGGTTCACAACTTTGTGAACAAATAATCCAACAATATTCTGTTTTTTTTTTAAATTTTATTTTCACATCCCGTCTTTGTTTGAATTGGGGTTGTATTAATTTTCGCTTCTGTAACGTTAAGAACTCAGTTTCAGCTTCAACACTTTTCAGTAAACTCAGCGTTCAAACAAAATCTCTTTTTCTCCGGTCGTTTCAACTCATATTTGTATGAAATGTCAGGGATCARACTCGGACAGGCCACGTTCTTGGTGAGGCTTATCGCAGGTCTGAAGCTCCCGAGAGGCAGATGACTTCTGCTCAGTTCGGCGTCCTTCGGCTGCTGACCCACCTGGCCATGCTTCAGGGAGCCGTCAGAAACCAGAGAGTGAGTCTGGATCTGGCTTTACTCATYGCTGCTTTTAAAGGACGTGTAAATCAGCCCCATTATGCTTCCTGCAGGGAGTCGGAGACATGATCCACCCGAGGACATCTGATGTCTTCGACTTCCTGTGGAACCACTTGGAAAAGGACCTGAAGGGGCTGGGGAAGAGTCTGGGTCAGAACCTGGACAACACGGCAGTCACCATTCATTTGATTCTGACAAGATTCCCAACAGGTGAAACTYTCAGTGATTTTTAGCATCCTGCTTTGGTTTTTAACAACTTAAATGTTCTGAACGTTCCTGAAGGTTCCCGCGGTGTGAGACCGGATCTGTCCTCCAGACAGGGACGGCAGCAGTGGGAGATGCTTGTCTGCAGTTCTGCCATCAACCCAGTCCTTCAGGTAGGGAATATTAAACATTTTAGTCTTTATGTAGTTTGTGCTCGTTGCTGAAAAAGTCTTTTTTTTTTTCCAGGATTTGCAGAAGAATCTGTCTGAAGCTCAGGACAGGATCTCCTCAGATGATGGTCTCGCTGGAAGCCCCCTGCTGACGCTCCTCTTCGGTGATCCAGGGACCATGTTATCTTTGCCCTCAAACTGCCCGACGCATCGCTCATCCTTCTGGTCTCTGCGGGAGGTGGTGACAGTGGARCGCATCTCTCAGCTGGTGGAGGAGACACCGGGACGTAGCTCTGTAGTTCTGCTCCGCTTGTTCTGTAAGAAGGTATTCAACAAACAGRCAGCCTCAGGATCAGAAGACCCTGACACTGACCTCTGAGCCACAGCAACACAGACCCTACTTATTTCCACCAAGATCACAGTTTCTTTCCTCTAACTGCTACATAATATGTTGTTTAAATGTGGAGGAGCAAACCGTGATCAGATCTGTGTCAGAACGTTTCACACAGCCTGAAAAAATGTGTTTGTTTCAGATCAACGTTGTGCGACAGCTTCATCACCTGCCTGAGCTGGCCGCTCTGCAGTCGGACCTGCTGAGGGCATTTCCCCTGACGTCAGGCTCCGCTCCTCAGACCGTGGACCAGATGTTAAAGCAAATACCTGCAGGTCTACCCCGTTTTCCCACTTTTTAACCAAAAAAAAAAAAACACGTTTTCAGACACAAACTGAGTCCTCCCACCGTCCTCTTCATCATCAGGGTACCAGAGGAAGATGCTGTCTGAGCGAGTGGTCCGATTCATCCAGGTGTGGAACTGCCTTCGATCTGAGGTGGCAAACAGCTGTAAGTTACTTCTGCTGATGTGGAAGAGTTCATTATGAATATCAAGTTGAATATGTTTTGCATATTTGCTGGCAACATGTTAGTAACTAATAAGTTACTGAAGTCTTTACTTGATCTCTTTGTGAAATGCTTTTTTTCTCACTAGAGTCACATTAAAAACTGTTTCAAATGTTTATTTATTACAGCTAGGGCTGGGCGGTATGACCTCAAATTATAAGGGTATGAATTGAATCCCTTCATGGAATATATCGTGGTAGAAAATGATCATAAAAAGCAAAGATAATGTAATTTTTAGAGCATATATTTTGCAGAAAACTGTAATCATAATCAAACCCAGCATTTTTGCTGTAGTGCAAATGAACATAACAGAAGTACTAAAGAATGTTTTATTTATGTTGCAAAACTCTTTCAACAACAAACAAAAACATTTCTCAAATTTTCAACAATATGAAAATAAAGTGGATGTTATAACCAGTACTTCAAGTTAAATTAGTCATTTAGACATAAAAAATTTCTAATTTGACATAAGTTGCCTAAAATGTAAAAGTGTGACAGGACCTTAAACTGCACATAGTCCTGTCATAAAACTATTTCAGATAACTGGAATGCAAGTGTGGTGAAGCCAAATAAAAGTAATWTCTGCCTGCCATACAATGAGCTTCCGCCTGCTGTTGCTCTGCTTCACTGTCAGARCAGAAGCACRTTACATTAGCAAGATGGATTTATGACTGAACGAACGTCCACATCTTTTTTTATCATCTCCGAGGGAACAAAACATAAACATTTTTTTTCTCCGACAACTTGGGTGTGAAAAAAACTACGGTTGTTAAAGCTTCGCTCTGCGTGACGTGCAGCCGGAGGGAGGGAGGAAATGATCCCGCCACACGACAACACAACGTAACTTTTCTACAGCCRGAGGGGGAAATTTTCAGGATTTATTCTCTCTCTTTCTTGACGCTCTCTTTTTTACCAACTCCTCCTGCTCAGTTGTCTCTGCACTCGCAGCCATGTTGACACGGGTGCGATGACGTAACTGAAGACGGGGCGGTAGTAGGGCTGCTCAATTATTGCAGAAATAATAATCACAATTTTTTTGATCGAAATTGAGATCTAAATTATWGAACAAAATTATTCATTCACTTTGATAACATGAATTTATTGAACACAAACCATGGCTGTTAAACAATGTTTCCCTCAGGATTTCAGATRTTTTTGAAAAAAATTAGACAAAGTTTCACTTYGTGGGAGGAGCTTGCAGCMTCGTGCTGGCAGTGGCACTGGATTCACAATACAAAACAGCGTAACTGAGAACCTCGATCATTATGTTTTTATGATCGTTGAAAACCCAAATCGTAATCAAGATCAAAATCACCCAGCCCTAGACGGTAGAGGGTAAATTCCTACCATAGGCCAACTTCATACCATTTCTACTGTCTACCGCATATACAGTACCACGCAGCCCTAATTACAACCTAAATGTATTTTAGTAGGACAACGTTTGACCTTCAGGATTAGGGTCTSTGATCTTATTTTGTTAAAGATCATGACTTTATTTCTAAAATCTGTGTGTTGATTTGTTCACTCACAGAGAGAATCCTCCTCTGTTTTTACTCACACTCATCTCCTCCCTCTGTCTGAAACATTTTAAATCCTCGGTCGTCTCGGTGTTTGTTTGCAGCGGCACTTCTAGGAGTTGACGTGAAGCTTTGTGAGACGGAGGTGACGACCGAGAGCTCGGGGGAGTATCTGACGCCAAGTCGACGCGGTCCCGGTTCGTGTCTCCRGACTCTGGTCAACTTCCTGTCGGAGACTCACAACAGCCTGGTGAAGGAGGCCCGGATGGTGAACGTCCACGAGGACAGGTCCGTTCTGCTGCAGCTGTAGAGGGCCGAGGCGGTTTATCAGCTGTTCAGGGGAGTTTCAGGACTGAGAAATGGATTCAGATACCTTTTAAATATTTTTAGTATTTTTATTTTTAGAAACTGACCGCCAACAAACTGCTCAAAACCAACAAAAATCACTTTCTAACAACTTGACTCTCATTTTGCTAACTCATCTGTACATTTAATGCCTGTCTGACACTTAAACATCTTGAAACAGATCATAGACTAGAAAACTTAGCATTTTCTGCTAAAATGCAGCGTGAATGAYTGCTGATATTTGTTGAAGGAGCTAGCACAGAGGTTTTAAAGTTAAAACAATTAAAAACACTAAAATTAGCTAAACATAAGATAATAGCTGAAAATAGCTGAACAGAAGGTTGATTAAAATTAGATTTTTTTATCTAAATGTCAATCAGAATCTGAAATAACAAAGATTGTGCTTTAATGTGGAATAGATCTTTTTTAACCCATTTTAACCCATCCCTTTAAAACATTTTAGCCTCTGATCAGCCTGTTCTGTGTCTTCCTGTTTTCTCAGTGATTACAGTGTTTCTTTAGAGAARATCTCAGAGACCCAGCTGACCCTGTGCCACCCTGAGCGAGAACTGCTGCCGCTCGTTTTAGCGAACCGTAACTACACTCTGCAGAAAGGCGGGGAGACGGACAGCAGCTACGACCTGCCGGCCATTCAAACCCAGCTGGCCCGACGCTTCCTAGCTGGAAAACCACTGATCAAGGCGGTAAAACAAAATCCTAATCTGATCCCAGGCGTGGCAGGAAGAGGGCTTGAAGCAATCTGCTCACCTGCATGTTTTCTGTCTGAATCAGGACACGTCCAGGTACCTGAACCGACACCTGCAGGACTTCTCTTTGGTTCTGACTGAAGTGAGAGGGAAGATACACCAGGTAAAATGCTGCACTATGCATGATTTACAATGGCAGGGAGGGAGAATATTTCATTTACATACGAGGAGATATTGAAACYTATTGTGGTCGTACATTAAAAAAGGTCAGTCAAAATTTAGTCCTGTGTATAATACTATTCCTCCGCTACTTGATGATTGATTTGGGTTAAATTTCTCGTATTAAACGTGCATAAATATAGTAGTTCAATTCTATACCTCAATCAATTAACTGTTACCTTTAATTGTTATGAACATGCTCTATACACCAAAAATAAATTTGACTTTACATCAAAGTCTATTGAAATTGGCCTCTGTCTCTTTAAGAACCTCCTACCGTTTCTGACACTCCCACTTCAGCACGTTTTTCAAACAATGCTTCGGGGGAGGGGTGCACTGTGTAGGGGGAGCTCGACTGCAGACTGAGCTGCAGGGAGGAGCTTTGTGTAAATAGGTGGAGCTTTGAAGCAGCACGCATTTAGGCTTCTCCACAGGAGATTCAAAGATTTGTCAAAAATGCATGAATTTTTTTTACCTTTTTATTTAAATTTAAAGTCAAAGGGTTTTGATGAGGGAATAACATGATATAAAGCTAAAAAAAAGTCAATTTTGCACAACACCCACCCTTTAAGTGTTCAGTTTTTATTCATTTATTTATTTATTGATTTAAACCTGAACTGATATCAGCTGCAGAATGATCGCTCTACTTCTTGGATGTTTGTGGGGCCACACAGTTCCCCTCCTCCAGCCTCCCGACGCTCTCTGTGTTCGTGTTCCAGGAGGCGCTGAAGGGYTCGGTGAGCGGCGCCACCAGAGCGGCGCTGCGCTCGTACACGGACGTGTGTGACGCCGTGTTTGTGGTCGAGATCGGCCTCCGCTTCCTGGCGAAGACGGGCGGAGATCCTGAGGGTCAACTTTTGTCTTTTCTCACTGAGGCGCTGCAGATGGGCCCGCAGATCTCAGGCGCTGTGGCCAAGGTAGACCCTTCACCCAGCACCACGAGGCTGACTCTCAGCTACTACCACACCAAGTTTTAGCTCAATATCTGTCAAACGGACTGATCTGAGGATCACTTTAAAAATACCTTGGACTGTAGCTGCAGTTATAAATTATACTGGACTTTTTTTTACATGAGTATCGTTTGTTTGTTTCCAGGGTCTGAGTGAAATCAAACTGCAGCACAGCATCGTCGCCTGGCAGCTCCTGAACTGCTGGAAATCAGAACTTATGCTGAACAGGAAGCAAGTAAGCATGAATAAGTAAAACTCCACGATTTACAAAGTAGGATAAACAAAAGTTACATTGTAGAGAAAAGAGGTGTCTTTCAAGACTAAACGAGAGGAAGTGAATTCCACCGAAGCAGTGTTTATTTGTCATGTTTCTAATTATATAGTGATATTACAAATAATAATAATAATATTATGTTATTATTATCATCAAAGGCTTTTAGGTGCACTTTAACTGGCTTAACTGCTAATAACATGCAACATGACTTCGATGTCAAAACAGTAGGGGTGCAACAATACATGTACCCATATGGAACCATATCGAACAGTTCAACACACACTTGTATCGAACAAAACAGATTTTTAAAATTTATTTTATCAACTTGTCTTCTGAAGATGCTCTGTGTTGAAGGATCAGTGGATCTGTGTTCGACTACTCCACCTAGGCTGCATTTTTGAGCGCAGGTCCACTGAGAAACTTGCTGTTTCAGCAACATTTAATTTAAAAACTGTACTTTTGAGGTTAAACAAATGTTCATAATTAATTTAAATAAATTACAAGTTAAAAGGGGCATGGAAATGTCTTTTTTTGTATCGAAAAAAATATTGAACCGTGAGATTAAAGTATCGAACCGAATCGTGAATTTTCTGTATCGTTGCACCCCTACAAAACAGTCAGCAGCACCCAAATAAAGATAAAGATACCCATCAATCCTTCTAAAAATGCAAAACTTCATGTCAGAAACTCAACATGTGGCGACCACCTGAACTGATTAGACGCAGGACTTTAACTTGTCACCCTTGACCCCAAACTGAACCACAGAGTTGAAATTTATTGGCTGCATTCTGTAGAAAGTGTGCCGTCTGACACGGCTGCTGCCCAGAGCTTGACCATAATAAGACCAGAGCAATTTCTTTTTACTCTAAAGATATAAAGTATTTTGTCACGTTTGAAAAATAAAGAATAAACTAAAGATGTAGAAGTCTGACTGCAGTTTTTTTTGATGAACTTCCTGTTTGTTTCAGGACCCGTTTCAGAAGCTGCACTCAGATTTTCAGCAGAAGCTGACGATGGAAGAGAGGAGAGGTCTGAAGGCTTTCCTCGCCGTCACAGATGTTGAGACTTTTGCTTTGGAGCTGCATGAAATCCTGCTGCTGAAGACGAGCRACTCTCTTCCTGACCAGAGCTACCAGCCACACTGGGAGTAAGCAGAAACCAATGTGTCTTCTGTTGTGACAGTTAACATTTGTGGGTTTGGTTTCGGTCAGAGTAGCCACCAAAAGGTGAAACAGTCCCAGAATCTTTGGCTTGTTGTCATTTTCTTCTCAGCTTGTGTTTTTAAAGGGATTTTTTAAACCAAGAAGTGTGTCCTTTGTCACTTAAAAGATGACCCCCCTAGTCTAAAGGAATCCTGACAGTTTTAATCAAAGGAAAGGGTGTTGGTCTGGGCCAGGACCCAACTCCCTCTGGGATTTGGAGCCTTTTGACTTTCAGGATCACATTGTGACCCCTCTTGGCAGCCATCTGTCAGGGAGAAGCAGCTTAAGTTCCACTGCAGGTCACTGTTATTGAAGCAGCAGCTGGGCAAGGGCTCAGCAGGAATGTATGCGGTGAAAATAATAGATGCAGAGTGCTAACAGTTGTTTTCTCCCCCCCCACCCCCCTCTTTTTTGCCGTTTGCAGCATCAGATCCACCTTAGAGGTCCATTTAGAGCAGAAAGACCTTCCTCCTCTGCTTGCGCTTGAAGATTTGCCAGAAGAGATCATTCTGGGGAAAGGGGCTGACGTGTGGAGAGCAGCTGTGGAGTTCAAAAGAAAATAGAATATGTTGATTTAAAGTTATTTAAAAAATATGAGTCAATGTTCCTTTATTTGTTGTGTAAATATTGCAAATTATAATTTGAATAGTTTTTTATTATTATTTCATCTTAAATAAAGTTGGAAATGTTCAGTCAGTATTTTTTTCTTCKGCAGTGAATTTGTTTTGTCCCAACTTTGAAAAACTGTCTGAAAAGTAAACCAAACCGTTGCAGGAGCCACGCCCCCCTATTTGATTGATACTTCTTGTTAGCCTATGACGTACGAGCATGTTTGTGCTTCCACCAATTGGAGACGAGGCGGAGCTTGCCTCTTGAGTCGTTGCCACAGAGATGATGCGTTATTTGGTCCGATGTGTTTTTATCCGCGGAGTACTTTCTCTGCTAGGAGGATAGTTCTGGAAATATAAAAATCTCCACCGAGAAGCTGGACCGAAGATTATCAGCTACGATGTTGTCCTGTTTGTGAAGTAAGTGCTTCATCCTCGGCAGCCTGTGTATTTAAACCGAACCGTTAGCTCGGAATGCTACCCTTTAGTTCTCTAACAGCGTTGTTATCGCAGAAATCCAATCTGATTAGCACGATTTGTCTGCTTACCCAAGGCCGAAATCAAGATATCGTTTTATACTCGTGTTATTGTTAAACAGAACTAACCAACTAACATTAGGAGCATTTTTAAAAAAACGACACGGTTTAAATTCATGTAGAAGTTTTAGCTAGCTATAGCGTTAGGTAACTTACAGGTGTTGCATCAAATTCTGTGTCCCACCACATTCTGAGTACAAATATTTTACACAAACAACTTGTTGAAATCGCGTAGAAATGTGATAGTCCATTGTTGCCATGGGATTTTTGCATGTTCACAAAGAAATATAGAGTTTTAATTTGTATCTAAAGCAGAGGTTCTCAATCTGGGGTCCCTGGACCCCCAGGGGTCCGCGAGAGGTATATTGGAGGTCCTCAAAAATTTTTACTAAAATGTTAATTTGGTTTTTATTTTTAAAAATGCATGGAGAATAATGAACTAATTAAACAAACATAATAAACTTAATAAAATATGTATTCCAATGGCATTTAGGGGTTGAAATGACAATAAATTATCTTTTAAAACAGCATGGGGTTTATGAGGGGGTCCCTGGCATTTTTTTTCGACCTTGTAAGTGGTCCACAGACCCAAATGGCTTGAGAACCCCTGATCTAAAAGAGATGCAAGGTTATCATTTATGGTTAATAACTCAGCTAGTATTTGCTTTGTAAAAAGTTAAATTTGTGTCATAGTGTTGGGTTACATTTTAACAAAAATGCCTCACGTATTTAGGTAACAGGCTGCCTAGACACAGTTTTATTCTGATTTTACATTTTATATTACTGGTCAATATTAAAGATAAACATTATTCTAAGATTATTGTTGTTGGTCACTCTGAGAGACTGTTTTCTTTCCTCTGTTTTGGTTCATGACACTGTTGGTACTTTGTTTTGCAGGTTTTATCAGGATGCATACGACACGTAGCCCCTCGTCCATCCCGACAGGCACCCCAGGGGAYGCTCTGGACCTCAGCCTGTCCGGCTCCCAGCTTCACATGTCCAAAAGACCCAGCAGCGCCTCTCCTGGGAAGTACTTCTCTCGGTCCGTGTCTGTGGCCGGCGACAGCAGGGGGAAGCGTAACACGCTGGTGAGTTTCTGGTCGAACGCTTCCCGTTTGTAACGTAAGAGTTYCCCACAACAACACCACCGGTGAAACGGGTGGCCTCAACCAGGTTTTTGCATCCACAGGGTGACGCCAGCGCCGGGAGCTCCCGCTCCATCAAGAACTTGAGGCGGTCCAACAGCACCACACAGGTCAACCAGCAGGCCAACCTGAGCTTAAGGTGCAAACTCACACACCTGCTGATGCAGAAAACACCTTCAACCTTTACAATCCATCAYCACWTTGTCCAGAACTAATGTCAAGTCGATTGGCCATATTTTTTGCAGAACCTCTTATTATAATGACTCATATTCTGGTATGYTTGCAAAACTGCACTTTCTCTTTTCCTTCTTACCAACATGCCCTWAAGCTGCTCAACAAAACGCAGCTTTCTGTCAGATTTGAGAGAAAGATCAAGGCTGGAAGTTGGATTAACGAGGCAGCTAACAAACTGCAAACGTCATCTGATCAACTTGTTTTGCATCTTGTATTGTTGTATCACAGAAATGTTTTCAAAATTATGGGTAAGAAACCTGTTAAAGYGATCCTTTCTGTTGGGTTTCTGAATAGCAAACCTTTTTTTTTCCATGTTTTATTTGATCAAAAGTACAAAGAGCTGCAGCAGGTTAGACCWCTGGACTAGCTGAAGGAGTGTTTGCTTTTTAGAGTGATTATCTTATCTTATTTCTCTGGATCAAACCAGTTTTTGACATTTCTTATCCCTGACATTGACACATGCATACAGTACAGGATGTGCTGATTCATGTCTGCAGAGCCTCGGGCACAGTCAGTGATTTGTTTCTCCTCTAAATCCTACACCAAAACAATCTTTGCAGAAACTTCTGAAATACGAAGGATTTGTTGTCGTTATAAACGGGGAAGAAAGAATTTGTGCGTATCAGGTGACGTGTTTTTGTGCTGCCAGAGGCTGTCGGTGTAACTCGGCGCTCTGTTCTGCAGCACTTTAAACCAGAGAGCTTCTCTTGGGTGAGCAACAGCTGGCAGCCCGGGAGCTTCGGCGCTTTTAGACAATGGGAGCTGTGGCTCCGTGATAAAGACTGCAGAGGGGTTGGGTGGCTGTTGCTGGGGTCCTGAGGGTTTCCGGGGCTCCTTTGTCCCATTTTCCAGAGGGAGGGCCCAGAACGTCTCGGGTCAGGTTACCCCCCTCCACCAGAAGCCAGTGAAAAGAGAAGTGTGTGCACGTTAGGATTTTATTGTCCGGCAGCTGCCGCCGTCCCCCCCTCCACTCCCTACCGCTGATGATGCTGAGCCAAGGGGCTTTAAATTTAAAGACACTCTAAATACCCCCCAACGCCCCCTTAACGCCTCTACAGTGCTTTTGGACTTCCACCGGGTCACCCCCACCCCACTCCCTGCATCCATCACTTCACTTGTAAGCCAGAGGAATGTGCTGCCTGAATGGTGTTGTCAGATAGCTTTTCACCGGGCCAGCTATCTTCATGAACCCCCCACCCCCACCCACCCAACCCCCTGAAGAGACACACGCTCATTTATATACTTACTCATTCTGAAACAGTCCTGCACCCACCAGACAGGGGGTCTCCCTGCATCTGCTCCCCAGCATGGAGGGACTGGATACTGGGGTCACCAGAGTCAACATATGCTCACATTTACGTGGACTCTTTGTATATCCCTGCGGGGACCGTACATTGACTTCCATTCATTTTTTGGAAATTTTAGATCCTAACCCTGACCGTTTACCCTAAAATTAACCTCACGGGTACCTACCTGACCCTAAATCTAACCTAAACCTTGGTCCTAAACCTAACCCCACACATGTACTTGCATTACGACTTGTGGGGACCTGGCATTGGTCCCCACGATGAACTTCGGTCCCCACGAGGCTGCTTTTTTGGAAAATTTTCCCCGCATTGTAGGAAAACCCATACACACACACATACACACACACACACACACACACACACAAGATTCAAGATTCAAAGATTCAAAGTGTTTATTGTCATGTGCACAGATGAAAAACATGTTTCCCTGAGCAATGAAATTCTTACTTTGTCATCCGTTTTTTGAATGCTGAGAGATAACCATATTCAAAAAAAAGAAACGAATCATCACCGAAAGTACACAAACAATGTTGATTAGACAAAAAAGAAGAGACTAAACTAAGGATAATAACATGACATTGAAGAGGTCCTCACTTTACATCAAAGACCTCACTTCGATAGTAACTATGGCACAAATGGTTCTCACTCTTTAGTAGAAACAAGTACACCTACTATGTCTCTCTATCCTTGTGGGGACTTTCCATTAACTTCCATTATTTTTTTTTTGGTAATTGTATGTCCTAACCCTGACCATTTACCCTAAAACTAACCTAAACCTTGGTCCTAAACCTAACCACCAACCCACCAATGGCTTTTAAACCAAATGGGGACTCAACTTAGTTCCCCATATTTACCAGTTGTCCCCACATGTAGGTGTTTTGTCTTAAAATTGTCCTCATGTCACACACACACAGTCAGCTGAATTCCAGGAGTAAAGAAGGAGTTGAGCTCCATCCCTGCAGCTGCAATGACGACAATTAAAATGTAAAAAGAAAGAAACTGAACATAAAACCTGAAAACCGTTTCGGCCTCAAGCGGCCACGTCAGCCTCTTTATTCTCTTGTGATCAAATGACACAAAAAGGATACTTTTCCACCCTCTGGCGTTTTTATTTTTTCAGTTTTATTTATTTTTTATTCTTTTTTAGACCAAAACTAAACCTGTGTTTGCTCATTGTGTTCTCCAGCCAGAACCGGAGCGAGGACTACCTGGCTCTTTTTGACAGCAGCTCAGATGGAGGCAAGAAACCGGCGAGCCTCAGCAAAATGTCCCTGGAGAGAACCACATGGAACATACTGGTATTTATCTCCAAACACACTTTGACATTTCTGCTTTATTTAGATTTTGCATCTCAACCACGTCAAGGAAGATAAATACTACAGTTGTAACTGAGTCACGCGTCAGTACGGACCTCGGTACGAGGGTCACGCTTTGCTCTAACAGGAAATAGAAGTGGTCCACAGTCCGTACAGCACTTCTTTAACCTCTCCAGGTTCGTTACAGAGTTTCTCATTCATGCAGTGTTTTTATGCTGCGCTCAGTGCAGTGTAACACACCACAGCTGTGATCACTGTAACCAAATTAATTTTGTTTTTAGTTTGGAGTCTTGGTGCGGCTCCACTCAGTGTGGGATAAACATGGAGGAATGTTGTAGCAGCAGCCTTAGCATCATGAATAAACACTCCTGCTTGTTCTTCTCTCCTCCTCCTCGTCTTCACTGGCAAATGTAACACCAGAGCTTGTCAAACACAGGGAAGCTTCAGCGGGAGAAACTAAATATTTCCTGGATGTTTTTGTCTCCCAGCAGCCATCGATGAACTTCGGTGTAGCCTGCTCGTTCCCCTCCTGCTCCGGGCCTCACGCCTGTGGTGTGCTTTAGCGTGAAGTCGGCTGTTCAGTAATAACCARCACCGTACATTCATAGCTTTTGTTGCTCCAATTGTGTTGTAACAGTTGGCAAAACAACAAGCGTTATAAAGTACATTTAAAAACAACTATCACTGCACAAAKTGCTGTATACGATATACAGTTTAATATGAACAACAAAGCAGCCTAAAATATAAAAACAAATATAAAAAAAAAACATCAGGTTAAAATGATTTCACCTCATACTGACTACATGTACCACTACACCCTGAAACATTCATATGGAATAAATCTTGTGCCAGCAGGAATTGAATTTGAATTGCTCAGACTGAATCTGGATGTGCATCATTTGAAATTGAATTAATTGGTTTGAAAAAAAATTTCACTATGTTGAAACTGAATTTAATGATTTGAATTTATTTGTTTTGAAACTGTATTTTTGTTTATTAAAAWTTCASTTTGACTACTTTCACTTTCAGTTCCATAATTCAGATTTTTGTGTCACATCCTGGTCCTTGAGAAAGCCAGGCAGAGTAATCAAACACAGATCCACAGATTTACGTTTCACTTTGGTGAAGTTTCCCTTCYGTTTGTAACAGATTTGATGCAATCAACTGTAAAAGTGACAAAAAAGTTATTTTATTGCAGTGATTAATTTTACCTATATGTAGAAAATGTTACATTTACATCACATCATGGATCACATATTGATCAGATGCTGACTGATACATTTAAATTCAGTTTCAAACCATTAAATTCAGTTTCAGTTTAGTAAAATTCATTTTCAAACCAATGCATTAAATTTCAAATTATGCACATTCAGATTCAATCTGAGCAATTCAAATTCAGTTCCTGCTGGCCCATACATTCCTACCTAACCATTATAAGGTTTAAAGATGGCGCTTTTTGTGTGTTTTCACGATATTAAAATAATATTAGTTTAAAAGTTCGGTAAGAAAACATTTGTTGTCTTTTTCAGGATGACCAGCCCAGAGTGTTWCCATCACATTCCAGCTCCCGCAGCACGGGCAGCGTGGACTCGCTCACCAGCCTCAAGAAGAAAGAAGCTGGTATCAGTCTGGCTGCCACCTTCACTGCCAACAACAGGTGGGCAGCGCCTCGTAAACACACACACAAACACAACAGTCCAGTTGTGTCTGCCTGCAGCGCTGCGCTGTGCAGCTCTCATGTTTCATACCTGCTGATCAGAACAGCTGATATCACCACCTTCCAGGAATTCCACCCACAAATTCACTTCCTCCTGGGCTTGGGCGGTATGACGTTTTTTTACGGTGCGCAGCGCTGTGGCTTCTGAATAAATGAAAATGATTTAACACAGTTGTTTATACTTTTAGCAGCTCATTTCATTCCACAGCTGACCTGCTAAAAATGACAGATTTTCTTTTCTGGATCTCTGACAGATGGACTTCAATCTCTGAACTCATAAAGTTTTTCTTATTGGTTTTCACTGTCATTTTCATGAATGGGCACTTCCTTGTATCTGAGGCAGGAAACATAGCCTTATATCGTGTTTTTGGGGTGGTAATTATGCTAATCTCCTCTCGCATGCACGAGCAGCTGGATACGAACAGGTGGAATTTACGCAGCTCATTTACTCACTTTTCTTGAAGATAGAAAAGTTTGTTGAATCTGACGTGACATGTTCATACAAACCATTTGTACGAACAAAAGTAAGAGAAATTTAGGATAAGAATACGAACATGTTCATGAGGCCCAATGTTACTGAAGTGATCTGACCACTGGATCTGTATCACTGGATTGGACATCACGTGACTCATCATGCGCCACACAGGTGTCATTGCTATTCATTGAGTTTTGACTCAGGAACATCCATGGATGGGGTAAAAATGAGACGCAGCAGACAGTCACGCAGGGAAYATCAAAAAGGGACACAATTTTTTTGCCATAAATTATCAACGCTATAACAAGATCAAAGGGTGTCACGTTTTACAGGTCACTAAAAATCATTTTTATATAAAAAATGTTGGAGATGCGGGAAGTAGGTCAGTTATGCAGCTTGATTTTGACAACCTTATGTCAGGTAAACCTACGAAAAGACAAATTTTCTTTTCCAACAAATTAATATTTTTTTAATTAATATTTTTGTCGCATTAGAATAACAGTGTGGGAAGTTGTAAATATGATGAACAGTAAAATTACCTTTACTACATCTAGGCTGAACTGTGTAGATCTATWTTACTGGTACTGATGTTCTGTCCAGTCAGCACACATTGTGTCCTGTAGTTTACCATTTTCATAAAGTAAGAAAACCTCTTGCTGTTTTTTTCCCACTCTGTACATTTTGCGAGCTTCCTAACCAGCATAGGGGCCGACCGTATTTATTTTATATAAATTATATAATTTTTACCAGCTGTAAGAATTTGTGTTCAATCACTTCTGTGTGAATCCAGGATCAGGAAACAAATACAGATCTAGACTTAAAAGTTAAATACAAGTAATAAAGCCAGACAATTACCCACAGCTGGAMCAAAATACACACTTTTTATTGTCCTCAATTAAATATATGTTTTTTCATTTTATTTCTATATTTATATTGAAGTGGAGCTTGTAATTCCATTCTCTGTGTCCTAATTTAAGTTCAATCATTTCAGATTTCAGTTTTTGACTTTCAGTCGAAATTCTCTTTGAATCTATGACCTACATGTGTTATTTAGTTTTAGGTGTTGGAAAGGGGCTTGTACAGTAAATGCATTGGCAAAATCCTTTAATGAAWAGTTCCCAGACTGCTGATAGATTTATCTCTTGAAACATGTTATTACAAATCACAACATCGGCAATTTTCTCAGCTTTAATTTAGGACATMGGATAAGAAATAAGGGCGCTATGAATAYTTTTGTGACAGATTGGTGTGCATCCCACATTGGAACTGTATGGTTTTGTTGACATGACTCAATGCATAGTAACAGTGCCTTTGGGGGCGCGTCACTATCTATAGTGGCTAATGTCCAATCCAGTAAACAGATCAATGGTTCTGACCACCTGAGCTTATTCTAAAGTCAAACAGAGGAGGAGGAGGGAGCAGAGAGACACCCCCCCCCCCTTCTGTCACGTCTTTTAAATCCTCCTCTGTATCAGCTGAGTTTCTGCTCCGAGTATGTTTCAGACTTTTTAATTGACTCTTCTGTTCACTGCAGAGCGTTGTTGCTGATGTTTGTTTTTCACAGGAGCAACAAAGGAGCCGTGGGCAACTCTGTGACCACCATCTTACACAACAACCACTCTGAGAAGCCGCTAACACCTAAGAGCTCAAACCAGAAGCCTTCATTTAAGTAGGTTTCAGTCTGTCTTTGGTGTCTTCGGTCAGCGCTGCTGGAAACCAGCTCCAGATTTCACCTCAAACTTTGTTTGGTTTTTTTCAGTAACATCCAGAAGGCCACAGCAAACGATGAGGTTCTGCTGGAGAACAGCTCCGTCACAAAGTCCCAGAAGAATTTCTCCTCCTCGTCCTCCACCCCCAACAACAGATCTCCAGTCTCGGCTCCACGCGGCAGCCCCGTCCCACCGCGGAGGAGAGCRGTCACCGAGGAGGAGGCCGAAAGGTCAGAGCCGCCGCCGCCGGGCACCCTCTGCGTGGCCGTCGCTGCCGGCGTGACTCACAGCGGCTCCGTGGCTTTTCTGTTGTCTGCAGGTTTATTCAGCAGGTGAACCAGGCTGCAGTCACCATCCAGCGCTGGTACAGACGGCTGGCCGAGAGGAAACACGGCAACCAGGCGGCGCTCAGACAAATCCTGGCCAAGAAAAAACAAGTATTCATCTTTGTCTTTGGCTCTCTGGCCGTGGAGAAGTCGGCCCCTCGGTTTGCACTGACTCTCTGCAACCTGTCCTGTGCAGGAGTGGGAGGAGAGACGAGAGGAGGACGCCGAGCTGCAGCAGCAGAGGAAGGCTGAGGACAGGAAAAGGATTCGTGAGGAGAAAGCTCGACTCGCTCGTCTCGCTGCCGTCCACGTACAAACTTTAATTCTCCCTGTTTGTTGCATGACGTCTCAGAGTTTAAATAAACGACAGTATCAGTGTTTATAAGTTTATAACTGATTAATTATAGTTTAGTTTTAGTTATCAACTGTAACTCCTCAGCATGTCCTCAGTTTTCTGTAGTTTACAGTTTGTCTCCCTCTGCTGGCGCTCCGCAGGAGCTGCATCTGAAGCGAGCTCAGCGAGCTGCAGAGGCRCAGCTCGAGGCCGAGCAGGACAACCCGGGGGAAACGGGTGCGGTGGGACGGAGGAAGCAGCCCAAGGCTTCCCTCGCCGTTAAAGGCCCGGCTTCTCCGAGCAACAACAGCCTGATGTCACCAACTCACACTAAAACCAAAAACACAGGTCAATACCATGTTTCTACTAGATTAGGAGGTTCAGAAATACTGTATCTATTGCTAAACGAGCTTTGGATCCGTGTTGGATCGTAACACATTTGATGAGTTCTTGTGTTTCCTCAGACTCTAACCTGAACGTTAAGACTGAGTTGTGTGAGCTGAGCTTCAGAGCTGTTTCTCCAGCGTTGTCCAGTCCCAGAAGCTCTCAGTGTTCTCAGGTAACGCTTTACTTTTCTTTTGTCACAGCAGGGTTCACTCCTGGCTCTTTTATTGATTTGTTAATGTTAAATTTTTAATCACTTTTTAGAAACAATACTCTACTATGGCTGAATGTGTACGTTTCTATGTTGCAAAATGCTCCATGTGCAACACATTATGTACATTTTTTTCTTTTATGGTGTTTTTTTTTTCATTGCTGAGAACTGAGATCTCAGTATCTATCATTCCTCATGTACTCATTTGGAATTACAATAAAAACAACTTGAACCCTTGATTTATCTCATAATTAGGCACAAAATTCCTTATATAAGATGTTAAGAATATTTTTCAGGTACTGTTTTATAT